GTTTCCAAAAATGGAAAGAGATGAGCGGGGTGCCACTTTGTTTGATTTATTACATGAGCAATATCTTAGCAAATAGAAAAGATAAAAGACCTTCTTAAATTATATTCTAGTTTGTCAATATCAGTAATTTGAGTTTCTAATTCATACAAAACTATAGACTTAGTATTTTGATTTCATAAACACCTAATCTCAACCAGAGCTATATTCAACATACCACGTGACACACAAAAATCAGTGTGTATCTGTGTTTTTTTTTTATATTTACTTTCAAATTAAGAAATTGAGTAATGTATAATACTAAATTTGAATTATAATCTACAGTTTGATACCAAGCTTATTGACATAAATTCATGAAATAGTAGTTCAATTAAATTTTTAATGCAAGTCAACAAACGAGATGACATGGTCCTTTCACCCGTGACCCGTCCCGAAATGGGTTAATAACAAAAATATTAAAAAAATTAATCAAAAGAAAGAACAATTATTAGAAAGTCTTGGAAATATACCAGAGTTTAAAATATTAAATAACACCTACTTTCATAAAACTGTCAACCACAAAACAACATCCCAAATTAGTTGAGGGAACATAATGGAAGAAAAAGGATGAGGTATTCCTAACACAGGCAGGTAAAAATAAATTATGATTTGACCCATATCTAAAGGTAAAAAAAGACTAAGGAATAGATAGATGACCATTTGGTCCATTGCTATTATCACCCAACAAAGAAAGAATACTGATTAATTCAAATATGACCCTTAAAGGAGTTAAAACTACTCGCACACATACCATATACATCATCTTGCAAAGTATTCCATGAATTAATAACTGATAAAGAAACAACATGAAGACTGTCTGATAACCAAACAAGGCCTGAGCCTATGTATCCTTATGCTTCCTCTAATATTCAGGAATTTTATTTATCTTCAAACTTTTCCTTCTACTACTCTGACAAACCTCTCGTGAGCAACTTATCCATTTGAATTAGGTCACTTGTATGATGTAGTTCTTTTCTGCTGCAGAGCAAACAAGCTCAAATCTTCAAGTCTTTCTTCATAGTTTAAACTGGGAATCATTTTGATAGCCTGTCTCTGATCTTTTTCAAGCAAATCAATATCTTGTCTATGTTAAGGGGATGAAAATTGAATGTAATACTTCAAAAGAACCTTTATTAACCCATTGACTGCAGCTGCTCTAAACACGTGCAGAATGTTTGCAAGCCGTACACTATACGGCACACTTTCATTCAACTGCTGAAGGGGGATTGTAACCTATATGCCGAATCAATAGTCAATGAGTTAAAATGTGACGATAATCACCCTACTCCTAAAAATCAAAATTCTTATAAACTCCAGGCCACTATTAATTTTTTTTTTCATCAATACCAAACATTCAGCTGGAGGCTTGAAGTTTTTATTAATCATTGCTCTGAAGTCTTTTTAATTATCCACAGCACTGTTTCTTCCATAAGAAAATGTCTTTCCAAATTTCTATACCCTAAATGGATCACTTTACCCGTATCAATGTTTAAGCTTATTTTCCAATGACTAGCCTACTCAGTAAGACTATTCAAGTACTGAGATGAGGAAGCATTTATCAAAGAATCAACCTTACCTGGTGGTTTAGTCTAACATAACATGCAGACTACAAAAGGCCTAGGCAAGTCACCTGCCTATTTACATCTTTCCTACCTGGCTACTTTGGTTTTGTATGTGACCTTTCTACCAGCTTTTCAACTTAGTAAAACTCTGAACCAGTATCACTGTAACAGCAACCTTTCAAGTCTCTGTTTACCTTAAAAAAAGTTATTTTAAAAGAGAACTGTATAGTGTTTAAGACACAAATATGATCTCTTAGTGTAAAGAATTTTTGTACATATGTTTAATTTGTTTCGAATATATATATATATTATTTTAAAAACAAGTGGAGTGGTGTTTGTTTATTGTACAATTTATTGCCAACAAGTCACAGACACCTAGTGTAGAAGAATCCTTAGCCCAACACACCCATATATTTACATCAGTTCATGACAAATAATAAGAACCCTAAAGGACCATTTGGTCCTCTAAGGCCGTTCCTGAATACTCATCTCTAACAAAGCAAAAAACCACACTATTTTTTTCAGAAAATCAAAAATTTTCTCTCTTAAACTCTTGTAATGTATCAAGCAAAAAACCACACTATTTTTTTCAGAAAATCATAAATTTTCTCTCTTAAACTCTTATGTGTCAAGCAAAAAACCACACTATTTTTTTCAGAAAATCATAAATTTTCTCTCTTAAACTCTTGTAATGTGTCAGCCTTCACCACTGCTGGTGGTAAGTTTAGAAATCTTAATGTTTATACTGCAGTTCATAACAAACAGATAAAGGATCATTTGGTTGTTCAAGGCTTTCCTTACACATCCACCCTTGAGAAATTCTAAAACAAGCCCACCCTTTATTTCTCAATCAATCATAAATTCTCTTATAAAAGTTCTGTAAAGTGCTGGCCTACACTACTGATGACATCAACTAATTTCAAAAATAAATTACCCTGTCAGAAAAATAAGTACTTTAGCTGAAGCTTAGCCTGTGTTTTTCCAAATCTTAAGCTTGTGTCTTCTTGTCCTATTATCTTCAGGATCTAGCACAGGAATCAGAGGCCTTTATCATATCAATCCTACAGATAATGTTGTAAACTTCAAAAGATCACTTCTTACAATTATTTTCCCAGGAGAAAATACATTAAAAGATCTTAACCTATCTCTATAAGATAACCCTTCATTCCCTGTAATCATCCTTGTAGCTCTTTTTTTGAACCCTTTCCAATAAATTAATATCCTAAAAAAGGAAGAATGAAACTGTATACAATATTCCAACTGAGATCCAACTAGTAATTTGTATAGAGGGATAATTACCTCATATAGCTTGTAATCAATATATTTATAAACAGACCTTAAAATCTTATTGGTTTTACTACTAGCAACAGAGCACTGCTTGAAAGGCTTGGATGACTTATCCACCACAATAATATCCTTTTCTTCAGGGCGATCCAAATGATGATGAAGAGTATTACTTCGTACTTACTATAATTAAGGTAATTTGCCAAATAATTGTTCAACTTACCAACTGATTCAAAACATTCTATAACACCTCAACATCTTCAATACAGTTAAGAAACACTCAAGAGTGTAATGTCATCAGCAAACTTTACTAATTATGCCCTTTTCAATATCATTAACATAAACAAGAAAAAGCCCAAGTTCTGATCCTTAGGGCAGTCCACAAGGGTCCAATTTCATTGGACTTCATTAATAACTTTTCACTTTGTCTTATCCAACCACACAATAACTAGATTTTCCCCAACACCTAATGACGTTGTTTTCTTAGGTAATCTTTCATGTGGCACCTTATGAAAAGACTTAAAAATCTAAGTACACGATTTATCATCCAGATAACAAATAACTCCAAAAAAAATAAAGATAACATATTACTCAAGAAAATTTCTTTTTGGTAAATCAATGTTTACTTTCACATATATCACATTTCACTAAATGATTTTGTTCAGCTTCTTTTATCAGATTCTCCAGAAGTTTTCACTCTGTAGAAGAAAGATGATCTGGTATTTAATTTCTAGGCCAATTCTTATCACCCCATTTAAAAATAGAAGTAACACTGGCAATTCTCCAATCATCTGGCAGCTACCCAGTGCCCATTGTAATGACCATCCAAAAATAAGAATATCATCTCATCTTTGGTTTGCTGTATATCTTTGGAGGAAACCTTGTCTTGCACTGGTACTTTATTTTTAATATCTCAGTTTTTCTACTTACCACAAAGGAATTAACGATTCTGGACAATTCCAAAACCTTGCTAGCAGCATCATTTCACAGCTTACCTTTAACTTACTAGCATTATAAGCCAGCTGTTTCTCGCAGCCATAAGCTTCCGTAAAATTATGTAAATTTTCCAACCTATCTGTCTATTCAAACTTGTGGATTTTATCCATGATTTATGTTTTTAGTATGCTAATTAAGTTTGATCTCTTCTGTTATCCATTTTCTCTTGTTTTGGGGAATATACTATCTTGAACTAAATTCATTTTCAGGTGCTTCCTAAATCTGTACCATATCACCTTTAACTCATCTCAATTCATTAATGAGAAACCTTGTCTCTTGACCTCAAAATTGACTTTATAAAAATCAAAGCAAAAATTTTGTTTCTTGTCATCTTAACACATAGTAAAGCATCAAATCTAATTATGCAATAATCTTCTTCCCCAATATTCCTCTACTGCAGCTTTTACAACTATATTCACATTAGTAATTAGCAATAAACCTAATAACATACCAATGTTTTGGGACAACATGGGACCTATTGGTCCATCTTGGCTGTCCCATCCTCTAAACTAAACTAAAACTATTAACAAATAGATTTTTAAAAAAATCTTAAAGCCAGCCCTTGTCATACATATGGTTATCAAGATTTCTCTTAAATTCAATTAAAATTAAATTTACCACCTCCACAACATCCAAAGACCAACCAAACTGTTAGTGTTAGTAAAATAAAACTGTCTTAGCTGAAGATGTGTACTCCTTTTTTTACCTTTTAAGTTTCTTTGTCTAAGCCTAACGTTAAATCATTACAATAGTGGGCACATATTGCTTCTCAGCCTTCTGTTAAATAAAACTCTAGGCTTAGTAATAGTATTAATAGCAGCAGTTAGTAGTAGTACTGTAGAATGTAGTAAAACTTACAAGTTAAATGTAATTTTATTCCTAGCTTTTCAAGTTTCAGTTCAGAGTGAGGTAAGGTGGAATACATATATATATATATATATATATATATATATATATATAAGTGGATATAGTGTCTCAGCTTTGAATTTGAAAGAAACTTTTCATATTTCACCAATTTTTCATTTCAGACAACCCTAAAACTTAAAATTTTCAATCATTCTAACACTGGGTTAGAACTTGGGACAGTAAAACCACTAATAATAACAGGATTCAAGATAAGGACTATTAGTGTTAGAATAAAACTCAAAAGTAATCCGTTGTTCGCTGCAGATTAGATTTTTGAGAAGTTACTACTAGTAGTACTAGTAATGTACTATACTGTGGTTTTTAAATTTTAGTGAGTCACTTATTGGTAATATCGTTATTCAGTGTCTTACCTTTCTGATTTCAAAGTCTGAAGAATTTGGAGAAACTCCCAAAAGATCGTACAACTTAGTATCTCCCATTTTTTCCTATAAATTTTTCAATGAAGTTCACAGATCATATGTGGGCCATAGACAAAAGAAACTTGCAGCTGCTTTTGAAACAATGGGATACAGTGGATGTAAAGGGATAACGATGTGCGCGTCCTCTATAAACTAATCTAATCTGAAATTCATCTAAAAACATTTAGTTTTAGGCTATCACGAAATGCTAAAAATGATCTAATACGTTATATGATGTCAACATAAATACATAAAAAATAATTGTAACTGTTCTTTAAAACTAAAATCTCCCTAAATGTAATACAAAAACACACCCGTTACATAACAAGTTGTTTGAGATATATAAAGAAATAATAAGAAAGCGTGAGAAAGGGCTTTTACTTGTCAGAAACTTCATACTGCAATCTAACGCATACTTTGTAAAATGTTTTAAACGTACCACAAATAATCTAGAATATTGGTTCCTAATCTCTTTTAGTCTGAGCCTCCTTTGATGTGAATAAAAAAGTTTGAGGTTCCCCAACCTATAAAAATGCCCCCCCCCCCACTACTTTAGCATGGTGATTGAAAAACAGTGCCGTAGTAAAAACAATCTCCTTTGGACATACTGTATAACTTAATTAATTCAACACAATTTTTATCGGCTTAATGTTTATTTAGAATTAAAATTAAGTCGACATCCTTGTTTTCGACCCATTTATTTTTGCTTTACACGATACATAGAAGGTTGCTTGGTGTTATAAATACATAATAATATTTACCATTATACATAATTTTATTGTAGGCTATTTTTTATATTTTAATTTAGATGATTTGTACTGTTAGTCAGAGGATATTTTGGCATGACGCAATCATAACATGGTACACCTACGTTTAGAAATTTCCTTAATGTCTAAATTAGACGTGACGTCTCGAATTTTCGGGAGATTTGTGGGTAAATATGTTATACATTATTGCTAGGCGCATGATAATTATTGTATATGTAGGATAATTTCGACCCTTGTACGATCAGTAATTGCGAATGTGATCAAAATGTACAATAATTTTAGCAGATCCAATGAATACTTGTATTTGAAAGAAAATTTTAATATTTTTTATCTTCTTTTTATCTTTAGACAACCTTCAATTTTTAACTTATTTAACACTTAAAGGTTCATATGAAATCTATTATGACGCTGCATTTAAGGTATTCATTGCATTATATTTTGTTTAATTGCTAAATTTGAGAAAATATGCATATATATACCTGTGTTGTTATCAGGTGAAATGGATTTCCACAGGAGTATTTGATGGGCCTACTTCATAATTACAGACTAAATATAAATTTAGCTAAATGACTGAGTTTTATACTAAGAAACGAAACAGACTTGAAACAAAATGTAAAGTGCAAAACAATATTTATTATTTAATCTCAGCATAAAACATGGTGTCAGTGTACTTGCACAGACTATGGACTGTCGTCTCTCAAGATGTCTTTCCATCGACCAACTCAAGTTAAAAACCAAGCAAAACTGAGTGAATCTAACGCTCTTTACTTAAGAAGAAACATTTGATTTACCAATAACTTCTGGTCATTCTCATACAAGATAGTGAAGGTCGTAACTTTTAGATATCACCTCCTTGGTCGGAGAAGAACATTGAAATCAATGACCTAATTACACAATGTGAAAGTTGCAATAATTTTCCCACAGGAGGAGCAGGTGCTATGTACTAGAAAACAACAAGGTAATTAGAATGAAAATAACTCAACAATTTTCTATACCACGTGTTTATGTAAACACTACATAGAAGTAGACCAAAATATAATAACTATTTCAACCGTAAGGTAAAAATAACATACTGCCAGGAACTCAGGAAATAAAAACTACTTCTAAAGGATATCGGAAAATGAGAACTGTTATAAATGTTTGAATATGGACATTACAGCTGAGACTTTGAGGAATTAACAGATGATAATAAAACAAGGAGACGATACTCCAAGAACGGGCCCCAGATTCCAACCAGATCAAAGGAACAACAAAGAGCTAACTAGACATCGGAAAACAGGAATCAGTTGGACTCAAGAAGCAAAGTTCAGCTGAGATTAGTTCATCTGCACCAATTGCGATATGAAACTCACTATTTAAAGGAACCAGTCCATGAGCTAATTGATTCATCAATGGGAAACTTTGCAACATGTTGATTAATACTGGTTCTATTGCTACAATTGTTTGGCCTAATATTGATACAAAAAGTGGAAAATTACTTCCAGAGATGAAGATGGAGTGATGAAGTCAGGTAGTTATTATATCACCAAGAAGTGAAATATTTATGTCAAGACTTATTACAAACACATTTCGATCTAATGACTGGGTCACATTGGAACCAAATTTTTCAGAATTTTCTGAAGGATTGGTTGAAAAACTCTCTCATGGACCTCAAAAATAAAAATGTCCTCATCAGGTCCATGAATACAACAGACCATGAGATCCGAATTACGAAATATTGCAAAATGAGAAGCTGCACAGGTAGTATTTCCATATAAAAAACATCAGAAGTAGTCTCTATGTCAACAAAATGTAGAAAGTCTGATGTTAAATTTTCACATAAATGAAATTTACCACTTCATTTACAGGAGATATACATGTATATATACCATAGTTTACTTCATCTGTTCATAGAAACTTAAGATACATTCTTCACTGGTCCTCATGACTTAGGGTGCAGTAATAAAATAATTCATAGGGTTGATACAGGAAATGCAGTCCCAGTATATCAGTTAGCCAGATGGTTTCCAATCACGAAATATGATGATGCTTTCAAACAGATAGAAGCCGTGAAAGAAACAGTGTAATATAACTAAATACCGGTCTTTGGACATCACCAATTGTACTTGTAAAGAAGGATAAAACAACAAAGATCTGCATGTGTTATCATAAGGTGATTGAAGTCACAAAGAAGGATGCCCATGCACTACCAAGGACTGGCTCTACTTTGAATGCTTGATTTTAATCAAAATATCCTTCAACATTCGATGTGAATAGTGAATACTAGCAAGTGCAAATGTAAGATGCAAGTAAAGAATAAGATCAGCCTTCAATGCAGTAACTGTGTTACGGTGATTTGTTGTCTTACCATTATGTAATACACCCACTACATTTCAGTAACTAATGGAGTGTGTTCTCTCTGGTCTACTCTGGAATGTAGTGCTTATTTACTTGAAGGATATAATCACTCATAGAATGATCAAGAAGTGTGAGCTGTTCTGTCAACAGGCAGTTTTCCTGGGTCAATGGAGAGGACCTAACTAAGACCGAATCCGTTCAGAATTGGCCAATAATACAGAACTTTCATGAGGTAAAAGGATTTCTTGAACTGTGGTCTTTCTATTATTCTTTTGTAAAATCACTTTCTGACATAACTTGTCCTCTACAATAATACCCGAAAAAGCACACAAACTAGTTTTGTTGAAATGTTAATTATGAAAAAGCACTGAAGAAAGAACTAAGAACAATTATTGTTTTTGCATACCCAACTTCGTATACAGATGCTAACGATTTTACATTGGGAACAATATTATCACAAGTATAACATGGAAAAAGACATGTGATCACTTACTATAGCTAAGTAAAGAATGCTGTATAAAAGAGGTATTGTACAACCCGGAAAGAGCTGCTAAGTATCGTTTGACCCTGAGTCATTTCCATCATTATTTATACATACGAAAGTTTACGTTCAGACAGATCATGCAGTATTCAATTAGCTGGTGAATTTTTGCAACCCAGAAAGCCAGGTAAAAGATGGTGACAGAAATTTCATGATTCAACTTTAACATCGTACATCACCATAGAGGGTAACGTAGGAATGCTGGTGTATCATCTAAAAGACTTTGTATTAATGAAGAATGTAAACAACGCGAAAAGAGAGAAGCACAAAATATTAAAGACGATCAACCTAAAGTACAACAGAGTAGAATTCAAGATAGGACACTCAGAAGTAATCATGGAGAATCGATGATGTCTAAAACCCAGCTGAAAGGAATTCCGGTAAAGGATACGAGTATGAAACCAATTATTTAGTGCATCAAGGATAGTGCAGAACAACCCTCATGGCAAACAGTTGTTCCATACAGCCGAAAAACAAATATGTACTAGGCACAGTGGGATTTGTTATAACTACAAGAATGCCTGCTATGTTGGAAATTGGATACTTGTGGAGAGAAACTATGACTACAGTTGGTGTTCTACAGTCAGAAGCACTCTGTCATCTTCATAACCTTACAACAGCTGGTCTTAAGAAGACACTGGAGAGGGTAAGAGAACTCTTTTGTTGGTTTCATGAATAACGTGTGAATTCTGCTGTGAATGAATAGGTTCACAAAAGAAACAGCATGGGCAACTACAACAGCATTGTGTTGGAGCACCACTTGAGAGAGTTGCTATCAATGTGATTGGTCCTCTGCCACAGAGTAACAGTGACAATAAATACATCATGGTGGTGGTGGTATACCTGACCAAATGGTTAGAAGCATATACTATTCTTATCTAGAAAGCAGAAACTCTTGCAAGCAAACTTATCAATGAATCTGTTTCAAGATTTGTGTTTCCTATGGAACTTTACCTTGTTTATTGAGATGTGTCAGATCCTTGGAATCAAAATGACCTAAATAACAGCCCTTCGTCCATCTTCTGATGGAATGGTGAAGAGATAAAACCATGCATTTTAAAATCAATTAGCCATTTATGTGCATGAAGATACGGGAGAAAAATCTTTCATTGCGATCCATGAATTATTGAACAGCAACACGTAAATTTATAGGCAACACACCATCATCATTGATGTTTGGGAGAGATATCAAATTGCCATTAGATTTTCTGTACTGATATCCTTAGGATAATTATTCAGCAGAGTTTTACACAGAATATGCAGAGAAACTAAGGAGCACCACTGATACCATACATGACTTTACCTTAAATCAGCTAGCGGTAAAACGAAAGTAACTATGATGTAAATGCTGATAAGACTGGATCTCATTGTTGTGACATACTATGACTGTGCAACCCCTATTGCAATATAATATGAACTCTGAAGTTAAGTAGGTATTGGGAAGGACCCTATGTTGTAGTGAAAATAATCAATTA